AACCCAAATCTCCCCTCTTTCAGTTTAAAGCCATTGCCCCTTGTCCTATCACTACGCACCCTTGTAAAAAGTCCCTCTCCAGCTTGCCTGTAGCCCCTTTGGGTACTGGGAGGCTGCAAAAGCTGGAAGCTTCTCTTCTAACTGGTGCACGGTTGTATCAGCTCACTGAGCTGTGGTCCATAGGCATGGCTGGGCACCGGGAATACGCTCACCCAATCCAGTGTTTCACCACTACCAGCGATAATAGAGGAAGAAGAGGAGGCCCTCTTCTAGATGAAGATCTAGGAGGTCGTTGGTAGTTCTGAGGAGTTAACGGAGAAGTGAAACATCATCTTGGTGATGGCTGTGGAGTCAGGGTGAACTCCATCCTTCTCACAGGAGAAGGACGGCGTGGCTTGACGGGGAAATGTCTTGGGAATTTGCCGCGCGTGGTACATGAGGGCTGCGTCTCATCGCTGCGTGCCTGGGACGTCGTCTCTCAGGGGGTGGGGGGCTTGCACCATCTTCTGAAGTGCAGCTGTGACCATTTTGCTTTTGCCGCTTGTTGGAAGGGACCTGCTGGTGGAGGTGGAACTCGGCGGAGCGGAGCAGGCTGCAGCAGGATGCACAGTGGCAGCTAGAACTCGCTTTCCGCCGGGAATCTACGTGGATCCCTACGAGCTGGCAGCGCTGCAGCAGCACAATCTAACGAAGGTAACAAGCCCAGAGCTGAGACATCTGGCAGGTCCTCGGATAAGGACAAGGACGCTTGGGAAGTCCTAACCTCTGGCTCGTTAAACTGAGGTGATTTATTCCTGGCTTACACGCGTTGTTAAGCCAACACCTGTTAGGTTTGGCTGTAGGTGTGGTTGCACTCCAAACTTTCCATACGTAAGAAAGTTGTTTGGAACACGTTGGAAAGTTGTTTGGGAACAGCTTAGGGACAGAATTTCCAATGTGATCTTCCTGACCATGACATCGGGTCCAGTGTTAGACAACAGAATCGCAGAATGTTAGGGATTGGAAGGAAACTCAAACGATCATCTTCGAATGATGAGGAATTGAGAATGAGGAGAAGAGTTTTCCCCTCTGATCCTGCAGTAGGTTGCTGCAGCAACCAGCGGCCTCTTAAATCCTACAATCATGCACAAAACCATCCTTTTTTTTTTCCCTGCCTCCTTCCCTTGCGTTGTCCTTCAGCAGAGAAGGACCTGGGGGTGCTGGTCGACAGCCGAGTGAACATGAGCCAGCAGTGTGCCCAAGCAGCCAAGAAAGCCAACGGAATCCT